CAAGTGTTGGAACCTGATTCTTGTGCCTTGCATAAGGTTTATACTACACAAGACATCCTTAGTGATGTCCAATCTTAATGGGAAGTGACTGCTACGCTGTCTGCTGCACTGTTACAGGCAGTCACTTTCTGCAGCTGCTTTCCAGCTGTACAATCGACTTATACTTCTATCAGAGAACCCTAAGGGACCAGGTCCCTGTTGTGTTAATCTTTGTACAGATGCGGACAGTCACTTTCTGCAGTTGCGTTCCAGCTGTATAGTTGATTAACTTGTACTTCTGTCAGATGAGCACCAAAAATCAGGTTCATAATCTGCTTCTTGTGCATACTGCCCAGATTGTCTTAAGTTGAGTAACTTGAATGATGTTTTGTATAGACTCATTGTAAGTACACCTTGATCATATCGCTTGAAGTGATGTGAGCACTTTATTTGGTCAGAGAATGAGTGGGCGCTGGAAAAAGTGCAGTACGGCAGAATCTTCATTTCCAGCTGTGTCCAATTGACTTTGTACTGCCGTGAGGAACCCACAAGAGTATCAGGTCCTTGTTTGGGTTCCTACCTCCTAAAGCTGTAACAAGTTCACATTTGGCTGGAATTTGTTAGATGCAGTGTAATCCAAGTGAGTCAGGTTCCCTATCTGGTTCTTGAAATTAAGTTTGTTAGATCATCAAAACACAAGACAAAGATATTGTAAACCTATAAGTTTAGCATAAATTGTATGCCTCCAATTATAGCTAACCTATTATTTATGAGAACAAAACTCCCAAAAAAAAAAATTGGTATGAGGTGTATTATTTAATATACAACAGCAATTGTATGCATCTAGCCAACAAGTTATGATAAATTTTCCCTATCATTATTGGTTCAGGGTTAGAAATCAAACAATTTCCATCTAAAAATATAAATGTACTATATGATTTAGTTGTTCCACCACAATACAGAAAGATTGGTCCCTAAAGAAGGTTGGGGATATGTGTTGGTGATCCCAACATTAGGGGAAGAAAATGGACAGCTAAAAAAGTAATACATGGAATGAATTATTATGAGTACACCTAGATCCCCGTACAAGGAAATGTGAACTTGAAGTTCAAGTGATAATTCATTTGTAAAATATTGTCACGCGCATTTACTGACTCAAAGCTAAATATTATATCTCAGCTGCTAATTCTCCAAATAGAATAAAATGCATGATGGACAGAGTGTATGGCAAGCATGAATCGTAATAGACTAATCGGTTCCAAAGCTAAAACTCCTTGAAGAAGGAGAGGAGCAAATGATCAAGATGGTCATAATAAGGAGACAAATATTCTAGAAGATCACCACGACCTAATATTTCATAAGACCTCATGGGAGAGGCTCAGGTACCTGAAAATAATAAGATAAAGAGATTTCAATAAGTTATGTCTTTATCGAGTAACGATGGAACCGATATAAAGTGATCGTCGGCGATATTGTTGATATAATATAGCGCTCAATATTATTAACATTGACAAGGATCTTGAGCTCAAATCTATCATGGAATTTGGACAGATAAATAATTGACTAAATAAAAAATAAAAATTGACTTCACCTAAAAGATATGAAATTGGACGAATAGTCCCAAAACCTGAAAGTATAAAGCCAATGGATGTATAAATGTGTTCTTGTGCGAAAAGTTAAATAAAAAATCAAGTCGGTAGACATAAAGACGACCGGTGGCACAAGAACACATTTATACATCCATTTGCTTATGATGAATTTGACCATGACAATTATTATGATATGGTTTTCTCCGTAAAAGAGAAATTCACCATATTGTTGGTGTGACAAAAGATCTTATAGTATAAAATCAGTTAAGAGCTCCGGAAGAACTAATTTGTTACTACCCGGATGAATAAAATTATTCATGACATTGATATTGTAGTAAGTCTAAAAAAAACTCTTTGAGTTTCAAATGTATTAGCCAAAGTGGTTGGCATATTGAGACTATAAACGAAAGCAAGATTGAATATCTTAATATTACTATAATTAAACCGAAAAAATATAAAAGGTTACCCGACTTTCCTTCTATTTATACTGCACCAGTATAAACATGATGATGTAATCACATGCCACAAGTAAACTATAGGTTTACTAAAAGAAATATTAGTTGGCATGGCCGGTTGGCCATCCGGGTTTAATTATGATGCGAAAAATTGATTAAGAATTCACATTGGCATATATTGAAGAAATAGAAGATTCTTCAAGAATTCTCTTGTGCTACTTATTCTTATGATATACCAGTTAAGGTTAGGATTAAATCCCTTGATTTCTAGAATGAACAAAAGGTGATATATATATATATGGGCTTAGTCACCTGCCATGCGGACAGATTTTAATATATGGATCTATTGTATGATCACATGCGCGTTCGTTATCAACATACAGTTTGGATTTTGCAAGGTTTCTTGCTTAAATTATTAGAGCACAATTCCAGAATGTAAAGTATGATGATTTGTCTTGATAATGTTGGTTTAAATCCAAGTTGGTTTAGCAGAAATTGTATGCCTCCAATTATAGCTAAACTATTATTTATAAGAACAAAACTCCCAAATAAAGAAATTTGGTATGAGATCTATTATTTAATATACAACAGCACTTGTACGCATCTCGCCAACAAGTTATAATAAATTTTTCCTATCACAATTGGTTCAGGGTTAGGAATCAAACAATTTCCATATAAAAATATAGATGTGCTATATGATTTATTTGTTTCACCACAACACAGAAAGATGGGTCTCTAAAAAAGGTTGGGGATATGTATTGGTGATCCCAACATAAGGAGAAGAAAATGGACAACTAAAAAAGTAATACATGGAATGAATTATTATGAGTATACCTAGATCCACGTACAAGGAAATGTAAATTTGAAGTTCAAGTAATAATTTACTTGTAAAATATTTTCAGGCGCATTTGCTGACTCAAAACTAAATATTATATTTCAGTTGCTAATGCTCCAAATAGAATAAAATTCATGATGGACAGAGTTTATGACACGCATGAATCGTAATAGACTAATCGATTCCAAAGATAAAATTCCTTAAAGAATGAGAGGAGCAAATGTTCAAGATGGTCATAATAAGGAGGCAAATATTCTAGAAGAGCACCACGACATAATATTTCATAAGACCTCATGGGAGAGGCTCAGGTACCGGAAAATAATGAGATAAAGATATCTCAATAAGTTATGTCTTTATTGGATAACAATGGAACCGATATAAAGTGATCGTCGTCGATATTGTTGATATATTGTAGCGCTCAATATTATTAACATTGACGAGGATTTTGAGCTCAAATCTATCATGAAATTTGGACAGATAAATAATTTCCTAAATAAAAAATAAAAATTAACTTCACCTGAAAAATATGAAGTTGGACGAATAGTCCCAAAACCTTAAAGTATAAAGCCAATGGATGTATAAATGTGTTCTTGTGCGAAAAGAGAAATAAAAAAATCAAGTCGATAGACATAAAGACGGCCGGTGGCACAAGAAGATTTGTAAATATTCTGGGATTGGTTATATGGAGACATGTTCTCCTATGGTAGATGTAGTCCTTCCACGTTTTGGTATGACAATACATTTGATATGCATATAATGAAAATCCTTAAAGGATTTTAATTATTCTGAAAGATATAAAGGATTCCGGAAATTTGTGAAATAAATCTTCAAGAATCCTTGTATGACATGTATGATTTATTTTTGTGTCTTAGTGCAATTGGTGTACTTGCTAGAATCTTGAGTGTAATGTTTTACTAGCAAGATTTAATCTTACTTCGATATGGAGATACTTGAATTCAATTAGTATTATATTACAAGAGAAACATTGATAGATTTGTTTATTCTAATAAATATTGCAAAAGTTTTGTTGGTTATGCAAATGGAGGGCATTACATGAAGTTCATTATTCATATCAAAATACTAACAGTTTATAAATTAAGTGACTCAACATGAATGAGACATATGATTTTTTTAAGAGAAGATTACAATAATATTGAAGACGATGTTGCGTGCATAATTGAAAGAAAGATATATTGAAGGAGATAGAATAAAGCACATCTCGCCAAAGTTTCTTTGCAGAGACGATCTTCAACAGAATGATAAAATACATATTTAAAAAATTCATTCAAGTGATAATTTGGTGGAATAATTAACTAAGGCATTGTCTATCTCAATATTAGAGAAGTTGTTATACAATCTTGGAATTTGTCATTTTCGAGAAATAAAGTGATGTTTTCATCAGGAGGAGGCAAATACATGTTGTACTCTTTTTCCCTTAGTTAAGGTTTTATCCAATTGGGTTTTCCTGGCAAGGTTTTTAACGAGGCAGCAAGTAATGTGTATTATAAGATATGTGTACTCTTTTTCTTTTACTAGAATTTTTTCCTAATGAAGTTTTAACGAGGCACATTATCTATGAATATCCAAGGGGAGTGTTATGAAATACATATTTATATAGATGTCCACTAATCAAATAAAACTCTCACTACTCTTCTTTATTATGTAGATAACCCAACTACTTCTCACCATTATAGTTGTAACTTTCACACCTCCATAATTCTCATAATCTTCTTTCATGATCTCAAATGTTTAATACTATATTTAAAGTAACCTTATTGTAAGCATCTATGTAAACCTATAAATAGAGGTATTTGGGATTATGTACTATACACTTAAAAAATATTTGATAAAATAAGAAAGTTCTCTCTTCCTTTCATACTCCTTTTGTCAATATTTTTATTTTATATTGTTATTTTGAGATTAGTTTCTTAACCAAAGGAAAATTGTAGCGCGAGAGAACTATTAGTGGATGTCGTTCAATGTCTCACAAGACAATATATAAAATACACTCTTTTTTCCTAGGCCTTACAATATTATCCCATAGTCCAAAATCCAAATAGACCTAAAAACCAAAGGTCTAAAAATGACCAAATCACCAAAAATACTCACACCTCAAACTGTTTTCATTATCCCCACCCCACTCCTTTGAGTCCTGTCCATACCAATATAAACCAGTAGTAGTAGAAATATAAACACAAACACAACCAGAAAACAAAGTAGGAGGAAGAAAAATGGCAGCAGAATCAGTGACAAGAATGTCATCTGCTGCTTCTTCACTCTGCAACTTTAATGGGTCTCAAAGACCGGTGCCCATTTCTAACCGGGTCAGCTCTTCTTCTCGGAGGAATCGTTGTGTTAAAGTACAGTCCCTTGCTTCTGAATTCCTTGGAAGCTTCAAACTGTGCTCTGTTTCGGCTTCTAGAAGCTCAAGATTAAGTCAAAAGCCCAAAAAGAATGGCTTTTCTGTCTTTGCTATGGCCGCCGCTGAAGGTATCAATTCTCATCCTTTTTTCATTTTTTCCACTCTTTCAATGTTATATACTTCAAATTTTTTTTGGGATTTTAAATGGAAATTTCAATTCTTTTTGTAGAGGTTCAACTGTGTTGATTTTTTTGTGTAATTTTAGATGGATAACTTGTAAATACAACTTTTTTTGGGGGTACCTAGTATAATAGTTGAGGTGCGCGAGAGCGCAGACACCACCATTATTAAAAAGAATAAAATGTCTAATTATGAATGAATGGATACAGAATAATTATATAGCTGACTCCTTTCAGTTTGAAATTGAGAATTAGTTGATTGATTGAATTTGAGAAATGAGATGGTTTTATGTTATGTGACTGCCTTAGACCTTAGTTACTGATTTGTATAATTTGAAACTTGATTAGGATTGAGAACATAATAAATTGGAGCGAATGGGCTCGAGAAAAGAAAGGTCATATTTGGGGAGAATAAAAGGGGTTTGGTTTGAGGATTGATGAACAAGAAGGAAAATGAAATAATTTAATTTTGGAATGTGGAACAGGAATCAAAGGTTGACTCTTTAGTCCGGATAACTGTAGAATGTAGTACTTAATTTTTGAAGGTGTCTACTTTGAGTTCCACATTGTGGAGTTTCTTGCTTAAAAGTTCAAACTCATGGTGAATAGTGATATCCTCTGTTTAGTGCATTTCAAGAAAAAATGTATTGAGAATTAAGAACTTGTTTTGATGTCAACTTCTTGATATGTTCTTTTTTCTATATAATCATGGTGTCCGGGCTAGCTTCCGTGCACCTTGACTAATTCCACGAGATACTTGCTACCTCCAACCAGCAACAAGATCACCTAGTGTTTTACCTCCATTGGGATTTGAACCTGAGACTCATGTTATGTTCTTTTTCCTAAAAAAACTTGATGATTGGAAATATTCAAGAAACTTCTTTTAGATTTATGGTTTATCAATCACGGTCTAAACAAACATCAAGTCTTAGGCGATGACCATATATTATAGGTTGATATTGACTCGTAAGTCTGCTGGTATAGATAGATGTTATACGGGACTTCTTTTTTGACTAGACAGTGTATTGGTAACTCAATCGCGGAACAGAAACTCATGTGCTGCCTCCTCTTTTTTTTCCTGCAGAGGGGAAGAGAACAGTTCCTTTGAAGGACTACCGAAATATAGGAATTATGGCTCATATAGATGCAGGGAAGACAACTACGACTGAACGTGTCCTTTACTATACTGGCAGAAACTATAAAATTGGTGAAGTGCATGAGGGAACAGCCACAATGGACTGGATGGAGCAAGAGCAAGAGAGGGGGATTACAATTACTTCTGCTGCTACTACCACGTTCTGGAACAAGCATCGTATCAACATAATTGATACTCCTGGTCATGTGGACTTCACTCTTGAAGTAGAGCGTGCCCTTAGGGTTTTGGATGGTGCCATATGCTTGTTTGACAGTGTTGCTGGAGTGGAACCTCAATCGGAAACTGTTTGGAGACAAGCTGATAAGTATGGAGTCCCAAGGATATGTTTTGTTAATAAGATGGATCGTCTCGGAGCAAATTTCTTCCGAACAAGAGACATGATAGTATCAAACTTGGGTGCTAAACCACTTGTAATTCAGATTCCAATTGGTGCAGAGGATAACTTCAAAGGATTAGTTGATCTTGTGAAGATGAAAGCTATTGTTTGGTCCGGAGAAGAATTAGGAGCAAAGTTTTCCTATGAGGATATTCCTGCTGACCTTCAAGAGCTGGCTGAGGAGTATAGGGCCCTGATGATTGAGACTGTAGTTGAATTGGACGATGATGCTATGGAGAACTACTTGGAAGGAGTTGAACCTGACGAGGAAACCATTAAAAAGTTGATCAGGAAGGGAACTATTGGTGGCAGTTTTGTCCCAGTCTTGTGTGGCTCAGCTTTCAAGAACAAGGGGGTTCAGCCGCTTCTTGATGCAGTTGTGGATTATTTGCCTTCTCCAGTTGACTTGCCAGCAATGCAAGGAACTGACCCTGACAACCCAGAAGTGACCATTGAGAGGGCCGCAAGTGATGATGAACCGTTTGCTGGTTTGGCATTTAAGATCATGAATGATCCTTTTGTGGGGTCTCTCACATTCGTCAGGGTATATTCAGGAAAGCTTAGTGCAGGATCGTATGTAGTGAATGCAAACAAAGGCAAGAAAGAGAGAATTGGCAGACTTCTGGAAATGCATGCTAACAGCAGAGAGGATATAAAGACAGCTTTAACTGGGGATATCGTTGCTCTTGCTGGATTGAAAGATACAATTACAGGAGAGACATTGGCTGATCCCGATAAGCCTGTAGTGCTTGAACGCATGGATTTCCCAGATCCTGTTATAAAGGTTGCAATTGAACCCAAGACCAAAGCGGACATTGATAAGATGGCGACAGGCTTAATTAAACTGGCTCAAGAGGATCCATCTTTCCATTTT